TTCAGTTTGGATTTTTTTTTCCCAATTTGATGTTGATTCTTCTACTTTTTATTCAAAAAACTCGAGTTGGGGCCGGTGATGCTGATGTTCCCTCCAACTCCAGATGTTCCGTGATTCAATGCACCGTTTAAAGTGGTTTTAAAGCTGGAAATCGGCTCTGTGATGGTTGTGGAACCCCTGAATTGCCTTGGGCAGTTGTTGTGGGAAGGGGATGGGGTGGGAGGGGGCCAGGAACAGGGGGCACGCGTCCTGTCCCCCCTGACACCCCCCGTTTGTGTCCCCCCAGAACACCTTCCGCCGGGACCCGCTGCGGCTGGTGGCCGTCGTGAGAGCCGTCCTGGAGGGCGAGAAGGCGGCTGTGCTCAAACGGGTGGGTGCTCCCTGCCCCCCTCCCGGGCACCCCGAGGTGCAGGACCCCCCCACAGCCCCCACTGACCCCACTCTGCTCTGCCCCAGGACCACCACCTGCCCCTCAGCTTCCATCGGCGGCAGGAGGAGCTGAAGTTCAGCCTGGGGCTGCAGCGGCTGCAGCACCGAGTCCGTGAGATCCAGGCGCTCCTGGAGGAGGGCTCAGGGCGGGACGGGGCTGTGCAGAGCCCCGTGGCCCCCAGGGAACTGCCCACCCTCATCCTGGAGGCTGTGAAGGAGCTGGAGGTGGCCAAACAGCAGGTCCTGAAGAGGATCCAGATTTGGAAGAGACAGCAGCAGCTGGCAGGGAATGGGGCCATCTTTGAGGAGAATCTGTCACCGCTGCAGAAGAGGTGAGAGGGCACAGGGCAGGGCTGGGAGACCCTGAGCAACCTCTGCTCCCCCTCCGCCGGCCCAAAGGGCTCTGGGTGAGTGAGGGTGGGGTGCTGAGGGTCCCCCTTTCCCCAGGTGTGAGAACCTGGTCGAGGTTTACTTCCAGCTGCAGCAGCAGGTGATGGCAGCAAGCGCAGAGCTGGGGCCTGAGCTGCTGCCCCGGCTCCTGGAGCGCTTCAACGAGGTCTTGTCCAGCCTGGTCAAGAGGTAACAGGCTGGGGGCTGTGGTGGCCAGGGGTTGAAATGGGCCTGCAGGGGCTGGTGGCAGAGCTGGCAGGGCGCTGTGCCAAGTGCTGTGGTGTCCCTTTGTACCTCAGCTCCTTCCTGGTGGAGAAGCAGCCCCCACAAGTGCTGAAGACCCAGACCAAATTCCAGGCAAGCGTCCGGTTCCTGCTGGGCCCACGGCTGCTGAAGGCAGCGCCCAAGCCCTACATGGTGAGGGCTGACATGGTGACAGAGAAGCAGGCAAGGGAGCTGGAGCTCAGCAACTACAGCAACACCCTCAGGTGAGCAGTGGGTGTGGGGCCAGGGGGGCTTCCCCACCGCCGTTCCCCCCCTGACCCCCTCCTCTGCCCAGTGAAAGCACGGGGGAGATCTTGCACAACACGGTGGCCCTGGAGACCAACCCCACCAGCGGGAACTGCTGCGCCAACTTCAAAAACGTGGTAAGTGCCACCAGCAAGGGGCTGGGCCGGGGGCTCCACTGGGTTTTTGGAGGTCCCGAGGCTGGGGATGCTCAGATCTCCCTCCCCAGCTGCTGAAGAAGATCAAGCGCTGCGAGCGGAAGGGCTCCGAGTCAGTGACGGAGGAGAAATGCGCCGTCCTGTTCAGCACCAACATCACCTTGACCCCCAGCAACGTCTCCATCCACCTCCAGGTACCGTGGATGGGGCTGAGCCTTCCCTGTGGGACATGTGTGCTGCACTGGGGCAGTCCCAGGGCGGCCACCACGCCTGGCTCAGGGCCACTCTCTGCCCCCAGGTCCTGTCTCTGCCCATTGTGGTCATCGTCCACGGGAACCAGGACAACAACGCCAAAGCCACCGTGCTGTGGGATAACGCCTTCTCCGACATTGTGAGTGCCACAGGCTGGAGGGAGGAGGCTGGAACATGGGGGTGGCTGGACTCTGGAAGGGGGAGAACAGTGCAGGTGGGAGCAGGAGCCCAGGGGTGGGGCACAGTGGGTGTCCTGGCCTGATGATCCCCTGCCTGGCCACAGGACCGGGTGCCCTTCGTGGTGGCTGAGCGTGTGCCCTGGGACAAGATGTGTGACACCCTGAACCTGAAGTTCATGGCAGAGGTGCAGACCACCAAGGGGCTCCTCAAGGAGCACTACTTCTTCCTGGCCCAGAAGATCTTCAATGACCACAGCGCCAGCCCCGAGGACTTCCAGAACCGCCACGTCTCCTGGGCCCAGTTCAACAAGGTAACTGGGAGGGCTGGCCAGGGTGGGCAGGCGCCAGCATGGCCATGGGGAGCCTCATGGCCTCTGTCTGCCTCAGGAGATCCTCCCTGGCCGGGGATTCACCTTCTGGCAGTGGTTTGATGGAGTCCTGGACCTCACCAAGAGATGCCTCAAAAGTTACTGGTCAGACAGGTGGGTGCCCTGGGGCTGGGCTTTGGGGGTCCTGGTCCCACCCCACTGCCCTGGGTGGTCCTGATCCCTGTTCCCCGCCTGTCCACCTCTCCAGGCTCATCATGGGCTTCATCAGCAAGCAGTACGTGTGCAAGCTGCTGAGCATGCAGCCGGACGGGACCTTCCTGCTCCGCTTCAGCGACTCCGAGATCGGGGGCGTCACCATCGCTTACGTCATGCGGGGCAAGGACGGTGAGCGGGGTCGGGGTCCTCACTGCCAGGGGGTGTGGGCACTTACGGGAGCCAGCGCTGGAATGCAGTGATGTGTCTCCCCTCGCTCAGGCTCCAGCCAGGTGGAAAACATCCAGCCCTTCTCTGCCAAGGACCTGTCCATCCGCTCCCTCGGCGACCGCATCCGGGACCTGGGGCAGCTCCGTAACCTGTACCCCAACATCCCCAAGGACCAGGCCTTCGGGAGTCACTACAACAGTGAGTGGGGGAGGCCGGGATGGGCCATGGGCTGTCACTCTGCACCCCAGCAATGCTGCAGGGGGGTCACGGGTCTTACCCAGGTGGCCCCAAGGCTTGCAGGGGCAACTGGAGCTGGCAGAGATGGTTGGCAGGGCATGGTGGGGGTGGTGGCTCACAGATGCTTCTCCTCCCTGAGCAGAAGAGCAGACAGGCAAGGACGGCCGGGGCTACGTCTCCACTGCCATCAAGATGACTGTGGAAAGTGAAAGGTGGGTGCGAGGCCATATCTGTGCTGGAGGCGTGTGCACATGGGCCAGGGTTTGCACAGACCCCTGGCTGGCCTGAGCATCCCCCTGGGCAGGGAAATCCCTGACTGGGAAAAGCATGGTTGTGCTGGTGAGTGAAGAGCCCCGCGTGAGCCCCCAAGCTGCACTGTGGCACGTCTGTGCACCTCCCAGCCTCCCCCCGAGCACCCACTGGTGCATGTCCCCCTTCAGAGCCTGGACCTGGCAGTGCTGATGGGGTCCATGTGCTTTTGCAGGGACCAGCAGCCTGCAAGCACCATGGGGGTCCCCCCCGAGGCCCCCCAGGCACCCATGTTCAACCTGCCCATGCTGCAGCACGAGCTGCACCCTGAGAACCTGCAGCCACTGCTGGCCCCCATCTGGTGAGTGCCCTGCTGTGGGGTGTGGGGTGGGGGCTGTGGCAGAGCCCCCCCCCCCCCCCCCACAATCTGAACCTCTGTGTGTGTGCACTGCAGCCCCCCCACTCCATTCTGCCCCCAGCCCATGCCCGCGGGCTACCCCGCGGTCGAGAGCAGCATCATGATGGTCCCCGACAGGCTCACCTCCCCCTTCCACAGGTAGGAGCAGGGCAGGGTGGGGGGCAGGCTGGACACCCCTCCACCCCCAGCAGGGTCAGGGGTGTCGCCCCCTCTCTGAGTGCTCCTGCTCCCCACAGCCCATCACCGATGCTCTCGCCTCCCTCGCTGTCCCACTGCCAGGACCCTGCCTTCAGGCCCCCCGGGTAAGACCTGGCACGCAGGTGGAAGGGGGACACTGCCCTTCACCCCTTTCCACCCCCCAAACCCCCTTCCCAATGCCGGGCTGGCAGACCTGGAGTGACCATCGCCAGCTGACCGGTGCTCCCAGGAGGAGCTCCACACCAGCCCCCCACAAACCGAGCAGTGCCCCCCAATGCCTTGGGGCTGGTGAGTGCCCTGTGGGACAGGGTCTACACCATTCTTTGCCACCGCAGACCCTTCATGCCCAACCAGTACATGCCTGGGGAGGTGTCGCAGCTGCTGCCCGCGGGTCCCTCCGCGGAGCCGCAGGACGCAGAGATGTCCGAGCTGCCCCCGTTCCAGCCCGTGGAGGATGCGTCGCTGCAGAGCCCTCCGCGGTGGTAAGCACGGGGAGGGGTCAGCAGGGGAAAGCCCCTCCCGGCCCACCCTCGGTCACCCTGCTGCTCCTTGTCCCCAGGATGTCGCCCAGCATGGAGCAGCCATCAGCCTCGGAGTTGGAGCAGCTCCTGGAGGTGCCTCTGTTGCCCCCCTTCGCGCCCCACCCGCAGCACAGCGGGTACCCCAATTCCAGCCTGTCCTCCTGGGGGCTGGGGGACGCGCGGTGGGATGACAGCATCCGGCCAGGACACGCGTGAGGGGGCTCCTGTGGGGGGGGGGCATCGGACTGGGGACCCCCCTCCCGCCCCCCACTCTCTCCCAGCCTTGCCTGGGTTCATGGACTTGACACGACTCCTGCAGGAGTGGAAACTGCGGCTGGGAAAGGCGGGGTTGGGGGGATTTGGGGTGACCCCCGTCCCCCCACACCTCCGTGCATTGCTCCCCGCCGCTGCCGGGGCTCCGCGGGTGAAGGGGTGCGGGCGCAGGGGCCCCGTCCTGCGTGGGGAGCAGCGGCAGCCGCGCGCGGTGCCCCCAGCCCACGCCGCCGGGATGAGTCACCGCGGGGGCGGGAGGCGGCAGCGCGAACGGCGCCGGGGCGGAGGTGCCAGCCCGGTGCCCCCGGCGGGGGACAACACCGGGACCCCCATGGAAGGGGACACGGCCCCCCTGCACCCCCGCAGTCAGCGCTTGCTTTGGGGTTTTGAGCTGTTTCCCCGCTCCTCCCTCCAGGCTGGAGCAGGGGTTAGGAAGATAAGCCATAAAATAAAGTTTTATTCCAAAATAACAAAATAAATAATCTACTGTACACGGTACAAAGGAAGAGTCGCTAATGCTCTAAAAAGACACCACACAGTCCTAACGGGGGGTGGGGGGATGGAGGGAACCCCGGGGCTGGGCACGGTTTGTAGGGGAAAAGGAGGAGGAACCCCGAGGGGTTTTTTTTGGGGGGGGGGGGGGAACAGCACCTCCCCAGTGCCCGTCAAACGCCGCCTGCGTGGTGCTGGGAGGGGGTGACACCCCACGGCACGTGTGACACCCCGCGGCACAGGGACCATGCTTGAAGCACACGCAGGTATCGGGGTGCGGGGGGGACGCGTGCGGGGGCTGCGGGGGGAGGTGGGGGGGGTATTTACAGCCGATGCGGTGCTGGGGGGGGTCGCAGGGTGGGCAGGGGGGGTGCACAGTGAGCTGGCACGTGCTGCGGGGAGGGGGCTGGCGGCTGGTGCGTGGGCGCTGCGGGTTGGGGGGGGGGGGGGACGGGACCGTGTGCCCGGCGTGGGTGGCAGCGCTGACGTGGGAGCGGCACAGTGCGACGCGTCTGTCCCCGCGCGGGGACGGGCCCGGGGTGGGGGGGACGGTCAGCACGGATTGGGGGGGGCTGTACAGGGAGCTCCAGTCCATCGAGGGCTCCCCAGCCCTGGGGGACGGCGGGGGAGCGGAGCCGGGCGGGATGAAGGTATTGCTGCTGCGGGGAGTCGCATCCCGCCGCGGCTGAGGTAACCAGAGCGTCGGTGTGGGACGGGAGGGGGCCGGGGGGCTGTGGATGAGACCCCCCCGCCCACCAAGCTCCCCGGGCCCGGAGCGCCGCCGCACCCGTCCCCCAGCACGTTATTGCTTCGTTAATGGTGGCGGGGGGGCTCCAGGGGCCTCACTGCCTGCTGGTCTCCTGCTCCACCTTGATGGTGCCCCGAGGTGGGTCTGGGGGGGGCGGAGGGCCCCGTTCTGCCAGCCCGTCCTCGAACTCTGTGGGGAGAAGACGGAGATGGCGTCAGGATGCGATTCTACAGGAGAAGGGAAGGCAGCGGTGCCGTCCTGCCCCCCGGCCCCGCGGGGGCTCACCTGGTCCCGGGGGCTTCCCCGGCAGGCAGGGGCTGAGCCGCCCCACGCGTTCGTGGGAGACCAGCCGGGCCAGGCGCAGCCCCTCGTCCATCAGCGTCTGCTGGAGGATGTGGCGGCTCCAGAGCCCGTGGGGCGCCAGGCCGAGGGGCACGTCCGGGGCCGCACCGGGCGGAGGGGTCAGCCGGGGACAGGCCCCCGCCGCTGCCGAGAGAGGGGCCACGGTCAGCGCGAGGAGCCGGGGCACGACCACCACCCCAGGAAGGGGAAGGACCCCCACTCACCCTGCAAGTGGCCGTCGAGGCTCTCCCCGGACAGGCTGCCCGTGTCCTCCTCCAGGCTGGCTCGGTACCCGGCCCCGGGGGGCTCCAGCCCCACCGGCAGCGCCAGGAGCTCAGGACGGCTCTGCTCTCCCGCCTGCCAGGAGCACAAAGGTGAGCAGGTCCCCTGCACCACCCACCCCAGAACACCCACAGCCGTCACCCCGAGCTGGCATGGGCAGCCCCGGGCACGCTGCGCCGTCACACCCACGCTCACAGGTGTGCACACCTGCACACGCTCCCCCTGCACCTGCACCCACCTCCTGCTTCAGCCGCTTGGCCACGACGGCGCCGCTGTCCTCGGGATGGGCCCTGGGGGTGGAAAGGGGCTGTGTCACGAGTGGGGGTGGCCACAGAAGGCACCACGCTGTGAGCGGAGCCGCCAGGCAGGGCAATGCCAGAAGCTGGGGATCTGGCACGGATGGAATTGGGGGTGGAAAAAGAGGGAAGCAGCTGGAGAGCAAAGGGAAAAAGCAGCCCTGGCACAGTGGGCAGGGGACTTTGGGGATGGAGGCAAGAGATAGGGCATCCCCAGCGGCATCCCTGCGCTGCCTGGCATCCCTTCCCACGCCTGGCATCCCCATCATTCCCATCCTCCCCACATCCCACGCTCCGAGGTCAGGCAGAAACCGCCCACGCTGGCAAAAGGGAACTGGGGGCCGCAGGGTCCTGGCCCGATCCAGAAGTGCTGGATCATGGTGAAGCTCCCAGGGGGCAAGGAGGTGACAGCCAGGCCCCACCAGGCCTGCAAGGGGGGGGTTTCCCAGGTGTGGGCTCACCTGGCGACCTTGAGCGAGGACAGGTAGGTGCTCTCCCGTGCCACCTGTCGTGACAGCGAGAAGAGCTCGACGCGCCGCAGCAGCAGCGAGTTGTCCCGCAGGCAGAACTGGGCGGCCGCCTCATTGATGATGAGCTGGGGGCAGAGATGATGCGTGAGCGGGCACAGGGACGGCAGCGCCCACGGGACAGCAGCGCCCACGCAACCCTCGGCTAAGGCGCTGCCGGCTCCAGGCTGGCGGATGCCACCTGTGTGGGAGGAAACCTCGAAACCCACCCACTCACCACACCCCCAGAGCCACCCTGCTCCCTGTCCCAACCCAGCACATCTCAGGAACTTCAAGCACGGAGCCCACCTCGTGCAGGGTGAGCTGCTTGCCCTCGCGGCGCCGGGCCTCGCCGCGGCCGTAGATCGCGCTGTGCCGGCGGATCTCCTCCTCCTTCTGCCGGTCACCATCCTCCAGCTGGAAGATGTGCCCCACAGCTTTGGCCAGCTTCTTGTTGAGCTTCATCAGCGCCCGCAGCTCGGCCTCGCCGCCCCGGGGGCAGCTCTGCAGCAGCCGCTCCACGCTCTCCACCACCGTCCGTGCCAACTCCGGCTCCAGCTCCGTGCCCACCGCCTGCTCCCCGCTGCTCCCGCCCGGGGAGAAGGGGGGACCGCCCGGCTCCTCGTCCCCACCACCCTCCGACTCGGGGGTGCTCCTTCCCGGCCACGGTGGAGCCGCTGACGGCGACAGCTTCTCCCCCGGCTCCGTGGGGCTGCGGGCCGGGGGCGTCCCGGCGCTGCCACCCCCCTTGCCCGCGGCCTCGCCGGGGCTGGCGTGCCCGTTGCTGAGCGCCTTGCGCCCGCCGGCCTCGGAGAGCTTGAAGAGTGGGATGCTGCTGACCGGGACGGCCGAGACGGGCTGGCTGAAGAGCCCCGGGTTGGAGGCCCACTCGCGCAGGGCCTTCTGGAGGCGGCGCACGTGGAGGGGCTTGGTGGCCATGCCCACCAGCGCCATGATCTCCAGGAACTCCTCCTCGCCCGCCTCGCAGAGCTGCTGCACGTCGTCCCCCCCTTGCTGGATGAAGGTCTCGTAGTAGCCCAGCAGGTTGGCGCGTTGCAGCACCCGGTACAGCTGCAGCTCCCCCAGCGTGCGGGGCAGGGCCATGACGAGCCTGCGATGGGCAGAGGACAGACGGACTCACCACCGGGATGGACGGACATGCAGGAGAAACCCCCTCCCCACCCTTGGGCCTGGGGGTGCAGGGCAGAGGGAGCATTCCCGTGTATGGGTGTTCCAGTGGCCCTAAACCCCACGGGGTGCCCAGTCCCACCTATGCGCTCCGGGCTGGGATGGTCCCTGCAGCCGCAGCCCTGGACATGGCACAGACCCTCATCCCAGCCCCTACCCCTTACCCTGGGCTGTGCCCAGCCTCTGCCCCCACCCCAGCCAGCAGCCCCTCCATGTCAGGTCCTCACATGGAGCAGGATACACATCTGGGGGCTTCCCCCAGCCCCCCATCCCCGGGGGGATGTGCCAATGCTGATCCTATGGCCAACATCCCCCAGCCCTGCCCGTGCCCTGTTCCCCCGTGGTCCCCTGGATGCCATCAGGGCCATCCCTCCCTGCTGACCCCGCCCCACTCGTGCCCCCATCCCCACCCCGGTCCCACCAGGGCCATCCTCCCCCAGTGTCCCCGCACCCGCTTGGTGCCCTGCAGCACCCCGAGCCCACCCCGTGCCCCATCCCCCCCATTCCTCCCGGACCCACCGGGGTCACCCCTTCCCCGGGCTCTCTGCTCTGCTCGGCGACCCCCGCCGTTCCATCCCCCCGCCGTCCCCACGGTCCCTCCGTGCTCCCACCGCCGCCGTTCCCCTACGAGCCCCCCGACCCCTCCCGCTGCCCTCCGGTGCCGCGGTGCCCCCGGTCCCATCCTCTCCCCGCGCATCCCGGCGCGCCGGACCCGCCCGGAGCCCCGTGGCCAACACCCCGCGGGACCCCCGCCCTGCCCGGTGTCCCTCGTCGCTCCGTCCCGCTACGGTCCCACCGTGGCCACGGTCCCCCGGGACTCCCGCCCCGGCCGGTGCCCCCCGGTGCCCCATCCCCTCCCGCCGTGCCCCGCTCGCTCACCGCCGCCTGGAACCGCCTCCGTCCGCTCCGCCCGCCCCGCCGGGCGGCCGGGAAGGGGCGGGGGGGCTCCGGGGCCGGCTCTAACCGGGGATCCGAGGGGTGCCGGGGCTCGGGGGTCCCGCGGCCGGGCCGGGCGCTCTCCCTCCGCCGCGCCGCGCCGCTCTGCGCGCCGCCCACACGGGCGGGACCGTGAAATAGCAGCGGCCCCGGCTGCGCCGCGCGTGGGAGGCCCCGGGGGCGGATCCCGCGGCTGCCGCCCCCGCCGAGCGCGGGGTGGGGGGGGGGGGGCAGCGGCGGGGGCGGCAGCACCGGCCCCCCTTCTTCCCCCCCCCCGGTACCGGAGCAACGGGAGGAGAGCGGGAGCGGCGCCCCGCACGGCGGCATCGGGGGTCCCGCAGCCCCGGCAGGACACGCGTGGCACGGGGGGTCCGTGGGAGAGGCAGAAGCCCCCTGTGGGGACGCGGTGCTCGGTGTTGGCGCGGACACCGTGAATCCCGGGGGTCCCGCGGGCAGCGCTCGCAGCATCCCCGGGTTCGGTGACAACCCGAGCGGGCGCGGGGATGCTGCGGGTAGCGGCGCCGCTGTCCCGGCAGTGCCCCCCGGTGCCGGAGCCCCTGCGAAGGGCTGGCACTCGGTGTCACCGGCACGCACATGCTGCCACCGATGGGCTTCGGGCTGCGCACGGCAGCGGCGCCCCGGAGCGGCGAGAACGGGAGCGGACGGAGGTTTCTCGGGTGGGCTGGGGGGATGCTGAAGCCCCTCGGCGGCAGCACCGGGGTCCCTCCCGCGGGAGAGGGGGAGGGGGGGGTGTCACGGCCCGCACCCCGGTCCGGCCCTCCGTGGCTCGGCGCTATTTATACCGCGGCCGGCGCCTGGCGTGGGGCCAGAGCCGCCCCCGCGCGATCCTGGCCGTGGGGCCGTGCCGGTGCCCGGGGCACATCCCCGGTGCTGCCGGGGGAGCAGCCGGGAGATCCCGCACGGGCACTGTCCCCATGGCGGGGGTCCTGCCCCAGCACTCCCGGTTCACCCCCTCCCCACAGCCCCCCTGTCACGCCCCCCCCCTTCCCCACGACCGAGCGTCCGGCGCGGCGGGGCCGTTCCCAGCCCTGGCGCTGCCCCCGGCTGACGCACATCCTCCGCCCACGGCCCCGCCGCTTCCCGGCTCCGCCGCCCACGGCCCGCGGAGGGGGAGCGGGGGGGCCGCCCGAGCCCGCTCCCCGCTGCCCGCCCACGGGCGGCCGCCGCCCCACGGGGAGGGGAGGGGAGGGGAGGGGGGGAAACCCACGCGGAGAGCGGCACCCCCTTCCCGGGGCTGACAGACGGTGCCGGCAGCGGGGCGAACCGGAGACCCCGAGCCGAGCCGCCGCTTGACCCGTGGGATGCGGGACCCACTCCGCGCCGCGGGTCACCGGTGACCGTCGTGCCACGGCCGAGCTGGCAGAGCCCCGTGCGGGCCGGCGGGGCCCGGGGCCGGTGGGAGCGGCGGGACCCGGGCCCGGTGGGAGCGGCGGGACCCGGGCCCGCGGGTTCGGCGGCCGCGGGAGGGGCGGGGGGCGGGGGGCGGGACCTGCGCGCCCCCCACGCGTGACCCGTTCGCGCCAACAACGCGAGGCCGCGCCCTGATAGGCGGAGGCGGTTGTCAATCACCGAGGGATGAGGGCGTGGCTTGTTGTGCCTGCGCTCTGATTGGTCGAGGGGCGAGTCTGTCAGAGCCGTTACCGGGGTGGGGCGTGGCCGTTGAGTGAATGGCGGGCATGTTGGTCACCGTGGTAACCGAGGGCGGGAACATGGCTGCTTCCTGCATGCTCACTGCTGATAGGTTAAAAGCACTGTCAATCAACGTGGCAGAAGCAGAGGGGCGGGGCGCGAGATCAAAGCTGAATGTTGATAGGTTAAACCAACTGTCAATCGACGACAAAGCCCGGCGAGCGCCTCTCCTATTGGCTGCGTACGCGCCTCGGCGGAGGGGCCGGGCGGAAGCGGAAGCGGCCGGCGCCGCCGCGGCGGGAGGGATGAAACCGGCACCGGGGCGGCAGCGGCTGCCGGGACTGTCGGTGCTGCTGCTGCTGTTCCTGTCCTTCCAGCTCCTGGAAGCTGCAGGTGCGCGGGAAAGCGCCGTCCATGGGCGGGGACCGGGGGGAGTCATAGTGGGGAGCGGGGCAGCGGCATCTCCCGGGCCGGCGTGACGGGACAACGGGACCGGCGGCGTGGGCCGCGGGGAACGGCCCGGTGCCCGCTGAGAGGCACCTTGCGCCCGCAGGGAACACTCTGAGCGCTTCCCGGGGCCTCCACGCTGAGGGGTCGGTGCGGCCCGGTGGGACCGGGGATTCGTGTCCCGCTGCGCCGATCCCCCGGTACCATCGGGCCTCCGGTGCCGTTGAGTGCGTGCCGGAGGCACCCTCGGGTCTGTGTCGCTGAGGTGGGATTTTGGGGCTTGGAGTCGGGCCAGAAGGGACGCGGGGAAGGGGATGCGCTCATCCCGACAGCGCAGGGCACGGGGGTTATCCCAGAAAAGAACCGGAGGGCGAATTCCAAGGAAAACAGCGGAAATACCGTGGGGAATATGGCAAAGTGGAGCATCCCCGGGGAGAGAAAGGGTTGGGTGGGTGAAGCAGGGGGCAGCAGGGCCTGAACCCCTCCCTCCGTGCTCCCCAGGCTCCAAGGATGGGATCATCACGCTGGAGGAGGGCCACGCGTCCCAGCACCGGGAATCCCAACGCTTCTGCTACACCAACACCCGTGTCCCGCGGTGGAACGACGTCTGGACCAGGACACAGGTGGGGGGAGCAGGAGGAGGCAGCAGATGGTCCCTGCTGCAGCCCCTCCATCCGTCCAGTCACAGAATCACTGGCTTGGAAGAGACCTTCGAGGTCATCCAGTCCAACCCAGCCCCAACACCTCAACCAAACCCCAGCACCCAGTGCCGCATCCAGGCTTGTTTTAAACACACCCAGGGATGGGGACTCCACCACCTCCCTGGGCAGAACATTCCAGAGTTTTATGACTGTGACTTTCACATTCTCTGGACAGAGAAACATAACTCTGTCTCTCAGGAGAGGAACAGAGAGAAGAAAAGAAAACAATCTTTATCTCTGTTCTTTTGTTTTCTCTATGTGGGATTTAGTATAAATCCCATTTAAATATAGTTGTTTTCTTCTCTCTGTGCTTCTCCTAAGAGACAGTTATGTCTCTCTGTCCAGAGAATGAGAATGTCACATACAAACAACTCTTTCAGTGAAAAACCTTTTCCTAATATCCAACCTATATCTCCCTTGGCGCAGCTCGAGGCTGTGTCCTCTGGTTCTGTCCATTCCTGGAGAAAGAGACCAAGCCCCAGCTGAGCACAGCCACCTTTCAGGAGGCTGCAGAGAGCAGTGAGCTCCCCCCTGAGTCTCCTTTCCTCCATGCTGAGCACCCCCATTCCCCCTCTCTTCCCGCAGATCCGCGTCACCAGCAGCCGGATGATCCGCGTCACTCAGGTGGACAGCGAGGAGGAGCTGGAGAAGTTCAGCCTGTGGAACGTGCTGTTCTCCTTCCTGCGGGGCAAACTCAACGACACCAGCATCGACGTGGATCTCTACAGCAACAAAACCTGCCTCAAGGTCGAGCTGCTGGAGCCCGGCACCACCTACTCCGTCGTCCTCTTCCGACGTACGTCCCCTCCCCACTGCTGGAAGGGGACAGCAGGACGGGGCAGCTCATGATCCAAGGACCTGTTCCTTCCTCAGGAAGGGAATTTGGTCTGCAGAAGGAGTTTGGGGCACTTGGAGGTCCCATCCCTTGGAGGTCCCATCCCTGTCCTTGTGACCCCGTGGCAGGTGGGAGCTTCCCACCGTGCCCCTCTCCACTGGGATTAATTTTTTTTTTTTGGCCAGGTTTTGACCCTAAGCTGTTCCTTGTTTTCTTCCTGGGCCTGCTGTTGTTTTTCTGTGGGGACACAATGAGCAGGTGAGCCCCCTCCTTTCCCTGGGGGCTCCTGGGTAGGGGTGTTTGTGCACAGGTACCCATAAAACACCTGCTGGGATTGATTCCCTGTGTGATCGCTGCAGGAGCCAAATCTTCTACTACTCAGCTGGGATCAGTGTTGGCTTGTTGGCCTCGATGCTTGTCCTTGTCTACATGATGTCCAAGGTCATGCCCAAGGTAGGTCTCGTGTCTTGAGGGGGTCAGAGGCCTCATAGCCCTTTCTATATCTGTACTGGGTTTGGTGCAGAGCAGCTCAGCACCTGGGGGAGGTATACACAGCCTGCCTGCAGCCCCCTCTGTGCTCCCCCAGAAAAGCCCTGTGTACTTCCTGCTGTTTGGAGGTTGGTCCTTTTCCCTGTACCTGCTCCAGCTGATCTTCAAGAACCTGCGGGAGATCTGCAAGTCCTACTGGCAGTACCTGTTAGGTAGGTGGGAGCTCTGAGATTCACCTGTTCACCAGGTGAACATCTCCTAGTGAAGCTGGGGAGCAATGCTGAAGCTCCCTGTCCCTGCTGCTGGTGTCAGGTTCTCCCTCATCCTCACAGAGCCCCCAATTTCTGCCCCATCCCTGTGCTCTCCCACAGGTTACCTGCTGTTGGTGGGCTTGCTGAGCTTCGCCGTGTGCTACAGGTACGGCCCCTTGGAGAACGAGCGCAGCATCAACCTCCTGTCCTGGGCCCTGCAGCTCCTGGGGCTGCTGCTGATGTACTCGGGCATCCAGATCCACCCCATCGCCCTGGGCCTGGTGCTCATCGCTGTCTGCACCAAGAACCTGGATTACCCCTTGCAGTGGGCCTTCGCTGTCTACCGGTGAGGCCTGTGGGAGCCCAGCCTGCTCAGGCTCCCAGCTGGGTCAGGATGAGCTGCTGGATGCAGCCCGTGTCACACAACGGGGTTGTTTTCACTGGGGTTTGGGAGTGGGGTGGGTAACTGTGCCCTTTTTCCTCTGGAATTGGTGCAGGAGAGGGTCCTTGGGAGCAAGGAGCAGAGGCTAGAGGGGTGTGTTCCACTTCCCCACTGCCAGCTGGCCCAGGAGCTGGGAGCTCGGGCTGCCCCAGGGATTCATGTTCCAGAAGCTGGTCCAGCCCCAGGAGCTGGTTCTGCCCCAGGGTTCCTGCCCCAGGAGCTGGTTCTGTCCTGGGAGCTCAGGCTGCTCCAGAGATTCACGTTCAAGGAGCTGGTTCTGTCCTGGGAGCTCAGGCTGCCCCAGGGATTCACATTCCAGGAGCTGGTTCTGCCCCAGGGATTCACATTCCAGGAGCTGGTTCTGCCCCAGGGATTCATGTTCCAGGAGCTGGTTCTGCCCCAGGGATTCATGTTCCAGGAGTTGGTTCTGCCCCAGGGATTCACATTCCAGGAGCTGGTTCTGCCCCAGGGATTCACATTCCAGGAGCTGGTTCTGCCCCAGGGATTCACGTTCCAGGAGCTGGTTCTGCCCCAGGGATTTGTGTGCCAGGAGCTGGTCCTGCCCAGAGGTTCTTGCCCTGGGTGGTGATTCTGCCTCACCTGCTGGTCTTGCCTTAGAGTTCCTGCCCTGGAGGGTGATCCTGCCCCAGGGGTTCTGTCCTGCGAGTTCCTGCCCTGGGGTCCTGCCCCAGGAGCTGCTCCCACCCCATCCAGGCAGGCAATAACTGGTGTTGCCCCCCTGGCAGGAGGGTGCAGAGTTCCAAGCTGGGCCCGACCCCCCCTCGGCTGCTGACAGAGGAGGAATTTCAGCTCCAGGGCGAGGTGGAGACCCGCAAGGCCCTGGCAGAGCTGCGGAGCTTCTGCCAGAGCCCCGAATTCTCTGCCTGGACCACGGTGTCCCGCATCCAGTCTCCCAAAAGGTAACATCCCTGACAGCGAGCTCGGGGTGGCCACCCTGTGTCCCTCTGTGCTGTCACCTCTGTCCTTAGAGACAGAGACACAGATCTGTGGTGTGTGGGGGGAAAGGATGGATAACACCAGGTCCCAGCAGCAAAATGCTTTACCTGTGTGTGTCAGGGCCTCTCCAGAGGCATGGACACACCTGCCCAACGTGCTGTTCCACGGCTTCTCCCAGGTTTGCTGACTTTGTGGGTGGTGCTTCCCACGTCACCCCCAACGAGGTGTCAGCCCACGAGCGGGAATTCGGCCTGGAAAGTCTCTCCATTGATGAGGAGCTCTTTGAGGAGGATGATGATGATGACGAAGAGGAGGAAAACATTCGTGACTCCTCTGATGGGAATCACAGGAGTGATTTCCTGCCCCACAACCATGTGGAAGTCCAATGAGGTCAGCTGCCCTGACCTGGCCAAGGAGCGGGACCACTGCTGGGCTGCTCCAGGCACGGTGGGGATGGTCCTTGTGGGGGTGGTCCTTGTGGGGATGGTCCTTGTGGGGAGGGACCCGCTCTGGCAGGGAGAAAAGGGCTCTGACCTCCCTTCCCCTGCAGCTCCTGCCCGAGGTGTGGACACCATTGTCAGCACAGCTCTGGGTGTTGGGGTGGGACACATGAGAAGCCCCCTCAGGCTGGGAAGTCACCAGGATTCAACCTGGACCCACCCCAACTTTTGCAGTGGGTGTTTGTGAGCTCCCAGGGTGGCACCCCTGGGGCAGGGACCCCTTCCCAAACCTGGGTGCTTATCTGGCTCCATCCCCCAGTGCCACAGCTGTGGGCTGCAGACAGGAGCTGCTTTCCCCTCGCTGGGCACTGGACAGCCTGGGGTGGGGATGGACCTTCCCCTCCATCTCCTGTGCAGGTGCCTGAGGGTGAGGTGACACACACGAGAGGAACTTTGGACCTGTCCCGCTGGTACCTGCGTGCTCAGCACCTGCCTGGAGCCGTGGTGAGGGAGCTGCCAGTGACCTGCTCCTCCTCCTCCTCCTGTTACAAACACCTCAGAGGACTCCAGCTGGTCGGGCCACACCTCTGCTTGGCCTCAGTCCCGTGTGGATACCAAAAACAACACCTGGCGCTTCCTCGATGGAGCTGTGGAGCCTCGGGGTCTGCTGGCTGCCCCTGGAGGTGGTGTTGGGGTAGAGGCCGTGCTCAGCCCCCTCTCCCCATGCCAGAGCTGAGGATGAGTGTGGATATGCTTCCTCCCTGCCTCTCTGCCTTTCTCCTGCTGTTACTCCTCTCTCAGTGGGTGTGGGCAGCGACTGAGGGTGACCCCACTGATATTGCAGTGGGGAGCTCTGCCAAAGCCCAAAGCTGGAGGGGACACCCCAATCTATGCAACTTCCTAAGCAATAACTGCCCTCACCTCCTCGCAGTGTCTCAGCTGCCCTGGGGATGCCCAGCCCAGCCCCCACCTTAGCTGGAGCTTCTGCCATCAGTTTGTCCTGTCCCAGGTCTGTCCCTGTCCCAGCCCTTGCTGTGCTTTCCTCCCTGCTCGGCTGTGAGCAGACTCTGTTACTTCGTTCCCCCCCGCCTCAGCGTGTTGGATGACTGGTTATATTTTTAATAAAGATGTATTTTTTAGGTGCTGAGCCTCATTTGTTTGTCCTGCTGTGACCCCAGGGCTCAGCCGCCTGTGGGAAGTCATTCTGAGGATGGTGTGTGGGGACACAACAGCCCCTGGGTGACACATTCCCTGGCTGGGCTGGGACCAGGTGTGCTTCCCTGAGGACAGGTGTCCTCCTCGGAGCAGCCCCAGCTATTCCCGGTTCTCCAGCCCCAGCGATTCCCGGTTCTCCAGCCCTGTACCTTGCCCCTGTTTCCCGCAGCCCAGGAGAGGAAGCTCCCTTTGTTTGCTCGGCTCCAGGATTTTCCCTGCTTGTTCCTGCTGCCGGGAGGGGAAGGCTGAGCCGGGACCGCGGGCTGGGGTTGATCCCCACTGGCTGCTCCTTCGTGCCTCAGTTTCCCCATCTGGGAGCTCTGGGGGAGGGCCCTGCGGTCCTTCCTCCCCTCCGTGGGCCGGACGGGGCCAGCACCGGGCGCTGGGCTGGGCTGAGCCCCGCCGGTTCCGGGGCTGCTCCAGCTGAAGCCACTCCAGCAGCGGCTGCTCTGCGAGCGGGAGGTGAGTCGGGGGCCCAGACAGCAGCTGAAGCACCCGAACCCCCCAATCCTCAGCTGGATGGGGGTACCCTGTCCCCACAACCCCCATCCCAGGGCACCTTCATCCCGCGGGCCGTGGGGACCCTGATAGCCCCGGGGTGAGCCCAGCGCTGCCCTGGGGCTCTTGCTCTGGCTCCCACCCATGGCTGCTCACCCTGGGGTGTCCCCCAGCAGCACGGGGGGCTCAGACCCCTGGAGGGCTCGGCCATCTCTAGAGGCTGCTGGGGCCACCTCCATCACCCTTTTTGTCCCGTATTTCCCCACCTTCTCACCGCTGGTGAACTTTCCCCGGGGCAGCGATAAGTGGGGCTGGGTTTACAGCCCTGCGCTCCAGCTGTAAAGTGGGGGTGAAGGTCACCCCCAGGAAGGTGACTGCGCTGTCACACACAGGTGAGGGATGGAGGAGAGTGGGGGGAAGCAGCTCCCGGGGGTGACCTGTCGGGGGGCGCTTGGGCTCCCCTCCCCGCCCCAGCTTCCCCCTGCCAGGAAGGAGGGAGGAAGCGGAGGCTGAATTCATCCCTGCCCCAAGAATAGGGTCCAGGTGTCCGCATTTCCTGCCGGGTCCCCCCTTCCCCCCTCATCCGGCTGCCCCCAGCCCCACCAGCGGGTCCTGCCCCCCAGGATACCCCGGGAAGGTGCCCCCCGTTCTTCTGCGGGTGTGTGGCTGCCTTGTCCCCTATCCCCAGAGTTGGGGGGTGCAGCCAAGATCCCGGAGGCTGCTGAGGACCTGGTGGGGCGTTTTGGGGTGGGGGCTGCGTGTCCGTGGCTGCAGCCCCCGGCCCGTGCTGTGTCCCAGCTGCCCCGGAGCTGCCCGGCCATGGAAGGCGCCTCCTCCTCGCTGCTGGACGCCGAGGCCGTGGCGGACCTGGTGCTGCTGGACCCGCTGACCGAGGAGTCGCTGGTCCAGACGCTGCGGGAGCGATTCCGCCGCCGCGACATCTACGTGGGCAGCGGGACGGGGGGGTTTGGGGGCGCGACAGGGAATGCTGGGGTGGGAGTGGGATATGGGGTGTGGGATGGGGGGTGGGATGGAGAGTGGGATATGGGGTCTGGGATGGGAATATGGGATATGGGGTCTGGGATGGGGAGTGGGATATGGGGTCTGGGATGGGGAGTGGGATATGGGGTCTGGGATGGGGAGTGGGATATGGGGTCTGGGATGGGGAGTGGGATATGGGGTCTGGGATGGGGAGTGAGATATGGGGTCTGGGATGGGAATATGGGATATGGGGTCTGGGATGGGGATTGGGAAGGCTGCAGGGTCTGGGATGGGGGGTGGGATATGGGGTCTGGGATGGGGAGTGGGATATGGGGTCTGGGATGGGAATATGGGATGTGGGGTCTGGGATGGGAATATGGGATATGGGGTCTGGGATTGGGAATAGGATATGGGGTCTGGGATGGGGATTGGCAGGGCTGCAGGGTCTGGGATTGGGAATAGGATATGGGGTCTGGGATGGGGACTGGCAGGGCTGCAAGGTCTGAGATGGGGAATGGGATATGGGTTACGTGATGGAAAGAGGATATGGGGTCTGGGATGGGGAAAAGGACTGGGAAAGCTGCAGAGTCTGGGGTGGGGAATGGGAGGGCTTCAAGGTGAGCAGGATATGGGGTCTGGGTTGGGGAAAAGGATCCCAAACTCCCAGGAGAGTGGGAGAACTGCTGAGCCTGGGGTGAGGAGCAGGATATGGAGTCTGGGATTGGGAGCAGGAGAACTTTGGGGTCCAGAGTGGGAGCAGGGTATGGGGCCTGGGATGCAAAGTGGGAGGGCTGCAGTGTCGAGGGTGAGGAGCGGGATTTGGGGTCTGGGATGAGGAGGAGGATCTGGGAAGCAGGAGGGCTGCAGAGCAGAATGGAGGGTCCTGGGATGGAGAGCAGTATATGGGGTCTGGGATGAAGACAAGGATCTGGGATGAGGATGGGGAGCACCAGGAGCTCCCAGCCCTCATCCCTGCTGTCCCACAGACGTACATCGGGAATGTGGTGATCTCGGTGAATCCGTACCAGTCCCTGCCCATCTACACCCCGGAGAAGGTGGAGGAGTATCGCAACTGCAGCTTCTTCGCCGTGAAGCCCCACATGTGAGCACGGGGAGGCTGGTGGTGCCCTTGGTCCCCTGGATTGTGCCCAGGGCATCGCTCTTGCGCAATCCCAAGATGTTGGGGTCTAAGAGAATGCACCTGGAGCAACACCACAGCCACAGCGGGGGGGTCTTGGTATTTCCTGGAGCCCCCAGATGGCTCCAGCCCCTTCCAACCCCTCTTGCCCCCAGCTACGCCATCGCTGACGATGCCTATCGCTCGCTGCGGGACCGGGACAGGGACCAGTGCATCCTCATCACCGGCGAGAGCGGCGCTGGCAAGACAGGTACAGCCAGGGCTGCACGGCGGGCAAGGGGCACTGCGAGGGGCCGCTGGGGTGAGGGGCACAGCCCCAGCGCCCACCGCCCCACACCAGTGACCCCCGGCCCCTCTCCGGCAGAGGCCAGCAAGCTGGTGATGTCCTACGTGGCAGCCGTGAGCAGCAAAGGGGAGGAGGTGAACAAGGTGAAGGAGCAGCTCCTGCAGTCCAACCCTGTGCTGGAGGGTGAGTGCCCGACATCCTGAGCCCCTCCTCCCGCATCCCGGACCCGCCAGGGCTCGGTGCTGTCCCCCTGGACCGTGCCCTAACCCCCCTCCTCTCCTGCAGCCTTTGGGAACGCCAAAACTGTCCGGAATGACAATTCCTCCCGATTCGTGAGTGACCTGGGGATGGGGCTTGGACCCTGCTGGGGCCATGTGGGTCCTGATGGGGCTGGGAGCACAGAGGGGATCCAGGACCCCCTTCCCTGACCCAGCCCCCTCCCCCAGGGCAAGTACATGGACATTGAGTTCGACTTCAAGGGCGAGCCCCTGGGAGGGGTCATCAGCAACTGTGAGTACCCACCACCCATCCCGGGGGGTTCCACTCCACACACCCCAGTGCCACGGACCCTGTGGGAAATTAATTCTCAAAACCTGATAGAAGGCTCACATAGCGTGCATCTGTATACTAACCTTGAGATAAAAAACACTGACTTAAAAAAAAAAAAACATAGAATGAAACAGGCATTGTTGAGAGAGAAGTAGAACTAAAAACAAATTTCAAAAGATAGCCTTGCAAAAAAGGCTTCATGAAGCTTTGCAAAATTCAGAGAATTTGCAGAATACATTATTAAATTATTCAAGTGCTTATTCTATTCATTATCCAAGTCACAACATGACCCCTCCCTGCAGACCTGCTGGAGAAGTCCCGCATTGTCCGGCACGTGAAGGGCGAGAGGAACTTCCACATCTTCTACCAGCTCCTGGCTGGGGCCTCACCACAGCTGCTCCGTAGGTCCAGACCCCCCAGTGTGGGGGATTTGGAGGTGGAAGAGGAGCTGGGGAGGATCATGGCTGAGCTGCCACCTCCTCTCCCCTCCACCAGAGCAGCTGAAGCTCCGCCAGGACTGTGGGCACTATGGATACCTGAACCGCGAGGGCTCCAACCTGCCTGGCATGGACGATGCCGCCAACTTCCACGCTATGCAGGTACCCACGGGAAAACACGACCCTCCCCAAAAATCCCGGAGCCCACCCCATCCCCTGAGCTGTTGTTGTCCATCCCCAGGATGCCATGAGGGTCATCGGCTTCTCGCCCGCCGAGGTGACGGAGCTGCTGCAGGTGACGGCCGTGGTGCTCAAACTGGGCAACGTCCAGCTGAGCAGCAGCTTCCAGGCCAGCGGGATGGAGGCCTGCAGCATCACCGAGCCCCGGGGTAGGGATGGGGGATAGGGATGGGAATAGGGGCGGGGGGACCCCCTCAGCCCCTCCTTGGCTCTGGCAGCGCCGTCTCCTCACACAGAGCTGCGGGAGATCTGCGAGCTGATCGGGCTGGAGCCCGGCACGCTGGAGCGGGCGCTGTGCTCCCGCACGGTGAAGGCGCGGGATGAGACGGTGCTCACCACCCTCACTGTCCCTCAGGTGAGCAGGACCACCCCCAGCCGTGGGGCTGATGCCTGGCAGCCCCCCATGAGCTGGTACCGACCCCTATCCCCTCTCCCCAGGGCTACTACGGCCGGGACGCGCTGGCCAAGAACATCTACAGCCGCCTCTTCAACTGGCTGGTGAATCGTATCAATGCCAGCATCCAGGTGAGCTCCAGGGGATCCTCCAGCCCCAGCAGGACCCTGGACCCCCACCCCACACAGGGATGAACACCCCATTATCTCCCCAGGTGAAGTCAGACAAGCAGAGGAAGGTGATGGGCGTCCTGGACATCTACGGCTTCGAGATCTTCCAGGTGAGTGAAGGATCCAGCAGGTCCCGTTCAAGGGTTGGGAACAGCATTTGAGACATGGGGCAGGGCTGGGGGCTCTGCCGTACAGGACCCTTCTCTCTCAGGACAACAGCTTTGAGCAGTT